AAGTACGAAGAGAAGGACTCAAAAATAGCTGATCATCTTCCAAATGTGCACCTGAGCACATGGCTTCCTCAAAATGCTCTATTAGGTATGGAAATGGCTTTCCAAAGGCTTACCCAAAAATTCACTTTAGACTTTGGACATTTGTATGTTTAAGCTATTTATTTTTTACTAACACGAACATTCAGCTGATCCACGTCTGAGTGCGTTTGTTACTCATGGAGGATTGGGTAGTGTTACAGAATTAGCTCATCAAGGCAAACCAGCAGTCCTTGTAAGTCCTTTACATAATCAAAGAGGCAAAATCAGATCAATGACGATTGAGCAAAATCATTCAGATTCCCATATTTGGTGATCAGCCAAGGAATGCTAAGATGCTTGCTAAGCATGGAGGTGCTGTTGATCTGACTAAATACGACCTAGAAACCCCTGAGAAGTTGAGGGAAAGCTTAAGGATTGTACTTAGCGACACAAGGTAGTACATTAGCTTTCGGTAACTCCTTCGATTCGTAGCGTGTGAAATTTAACTTCAATTTGGCCTCAACAAAATACAATTTTAGCTACTCCAAAAACGCTAAACGTCTTGCTGAGATGTTACGTAAGCAGCCCATAAGCCCGAAGGAGCTTTTCTTGCGACACGCTGAATATGCAGCAAGGTAGGTTTTGTTTCATTGCTGATTCAAATTGATTGTTAATTTTTTAGATTTGGTCGCCTACCTAACTTGGATCCATACGGAAGGCAACTCTCGTTTATACAATATTACCTTATTGATATCGCATTAGTCGTCATCTCAATAATTACTACTGTACTATATGTAATAACCAAATTAGTTTCAAAATGCTTTACTGTAGTAAAAGTTAAAAAAGATTGAACAGCCTTTGTTCAGCAATTTGAATGTAATTTGTCGGTGCCTTATTAATGCCTAATAAAACTTGACCAGTAAGCAACAATAGTTGATCACCTTTTATAAGTACAAGTTTTCTCAAATCGCACTTTTAAGCCAAGTTTGACTTGACGATTTTCTCTGAGTGTTAAGAATTTGGCTTTTTCAAAATGTTTTGGAACATAGGACATTTCGAGGAAAATTGTT